CACGTCATTTTATATCAGTCCGGGACTTACACGTTATGTACGACACGAAGTGGGAAGGGTCACTAATAATGACATAGACACAAGCGATGACTCGGATTAAATTTTGACTAATAATGACAAAACTGTGGAAAAATGTGTTTTGGGGATGAAGGTTAATGGTCCAAATTTTATTTTTTTTTTTTGTAAATATTTGTTTATGTACAAAATCTTTTTATTGAAATAAAGATGTGGGTCGAGTAAGGATTGTCTTAAATTGCCAACCTGTAGCGTGGGTAGGGACTTATCCTAAGACGTCATAGTTTTCCAAGTTCAATGTGTGCATTTAGTTTTTTTTCAATTTTCATAGATAAATGTGTATGTAAATAACTTTAATTTTTATTCGAGTGAAAAAAAAAAANGGTAGGGACTTATCCTAAGACGTCATAGTTTTCCAAGTTCAATGTGTGCATTTAGTTTTTTTTCAATTTTCATAGATAAATGTGTATGTAAATAACTTGAATTTTTATTCGAGTGAAAAAAAAAAAAAAAAAAACCGCATTTCCTTGAAAAATGGTATTTTCTCTATGTTTAAATGTCANAGGAATGCGTATTTTTACAACATTTTTGCTTATATTTCATGATCACATCAAATGTAGCTTCAATCGTCTTTGTGACTAGCAGACGTTAAAGAACCAGATAGTGAGTCTTAAAGCATAGAAAGCATGAATTTTAAAAAAATTTGGTTTAGTTTGGGAGTCTTGCGCACATTTTCATCTGATGTGCATGCTGTGATCATGAGAAAAGCAAGAGTAGTCAGAAAAATTGAAATCCGAGAAGCACAAGCAAAGCTATTGTATGGCAGAAGCACTTTTGCTAAACGTCGTCGTGCCAAACGGTTGGGTGCTTGTAAATAATGTGGCAGGTGTTTTCACATAAAAAAATACAATCAGTGTTCTGAACCAATTTTGGGTCGTGTAACCGATCGATTAAACTGGATAGTGTATGGCCAGAGTAAGGATTTTTCTAACACGTCATTTTATATCAGTCCGGGACTTACACGTTATGTACGACACGAAGTGGGAAGGGTCACTAATAATGACATAGACACAAGCGATGACTCGGATTAAATTTTGACTAATAATGACAAAACTGTGGNCTCTGGCCACATTACAACCTATACAAAGTCCTAATTGATTTCAAGTCTAATGCATGTGTGTGTTGTCAACCGGAAACTGGGGTATGTTAAATAGTATTTCTTTAATTACATTGATATGCTTCCATGAGATTATGCCAAGAACATGATTAGTCTACTTTCTTACAACTTTCACTCCCTTTCTAACTGTGCATGTGATTCTTTGATTGACCACCCTCTGATCACATGCCCTTTGAGAGACAAGTCACTATAATCAGAGTGAATTTTTTGCTGAGAGCATTCTAAGAGAGGTTTGAAAAATCAAAGCTATCCATGGAAGGTGATAAAGTGGAATATTTGTTATACAACAATTCTTGCTACTAGAATGATCATTCCTATTACACAAGGAATTCCAAATACCAATGTAACAAGTGCTTATTTTTGAATAGAGTATGTACCAATGACAGAGAAGTGTTCGGGAAACAATTCGAAATTAAGGGATGTGTGTCTCAACGATCCTGTTGCTAACTCATTCTGACAAGAAATCTTACATATACACATCTTTTAATTGGAGTTTGTAGGTAGCTTCACTGGAAACCTTCACGAGACAAAACTCGTCCACTAGGGATCACCTAGGGGTTTAACGGCTTATTGCATATGCTAAATGCAATCGTGTTATCTACGAAAGTGATTTTATTTTGTTATGTTGTTTATTACTAGGGACTAGTAATATTTAGGTTGGGGGGTGTGATTAACCCTAATTAAGGCATAATTTAATAGGTAAATTGTGTTAGTTGAATAAAGTTAAACTAGTCAAAATAAATCAAATTAGAGTAAGTGTGTGAATAAATGATAATGCATTAATTGTTGTTCTTTTAAGGATTTTGTGCATCAAAGCTACAAACTACTTGAGAGTCAATTGCAATAAAGCTACAAACTACTAGGGTACCAATTATCAAAGCTCAAAACAAAGGGGGGGTCAAAGAATTCAAGGCCACCTAACAAGACTTTCATACCACCAAACAAGACTTTTCAAGGCCATCTAACAAGATTCAAAGCCACCTTTTGGTAGTGGAAAACACTCCAAAAGTATTATCGCTTTTTTTTATTGCTTATTGCTTTCTTTAAGTATTGCTTTCTTTTATTGTATTATTGCTTCCTTTTAATTTATTGCTTTCTTTTACTTTAAGTATTGCTTTCTTTTATTGTGTTATTGCTTTCTTTTATTTCCATTGCTTGAGCTTCCTTCTTCCCTTAGAGGAGTGAAACTCTTCCACTTTTCTAGAGCTTTACCAGAGTCGTGAAGGATGGAACGTGATTCACTCATTCTTTGTCAAAGATTAGCTCCTTGTGTAAAGTGTTTTACCTTGTAACTCCTCTACTTTGAGGGATGAGCATCACTCACTTTTCTAGCTTTAACAAAGCCATGAAGAGTGAGTAGTTTCTCATCCAATCTTTAGTAAGAGGTGATTATCCGGAAGTTATATTTATGCATTTCGTTTATGCTTAGCTCTAGTTTTTATTTTTTCATAATGTCTTCTCATCATATTGTTGTCTTTATTTTAAGCATGAATAGCTAAATCTCTTAGTTGGCAAAACCAAGAGGAACCTCCACTTGGGTATACCATTTCAACTCATTCTCCTCCCCTCTTTCAGAGTTCAATGGTTCGGTTTGACTGGGTTGAGGGTGGATAACTTGGTGAGTCTTTGATATTCCGTAGGCCTAGTCACGATTTATGCTTAGATACTCACCAATCTTTTCCCTAGCTTCCCACGAATCAATTGTTCATTCATGCTCTATTGGAGGAGGGTTTCGAGTTGAGACGGTATTACTATTGGAGTGACCTCTTGGATTTGCCAACATTTGTTTCTCATTTTACTAGCATCAAAATAACTTCCAACAATCAAAGATTTTACGTTTTCTTTCTTCCAAAATCACCTTCCCCTTGGTTTACTTTCTTCCCCATGGAAATGACCTTGGAATACCACCAAGTAAAACATGATCCACGAAAGTCTCCTTGCACTTGGGGAGCACTTTTGTTCACACATACTCACATTTGACATCTCATTCATTCACCATTCTGTTGCCCTTTCTTTTGACATCATCCCTAGGAGAGTGACATTCCCTTTCATTCATATACTATATATGCTAAAAGGGGATGTTTAGAGGTTAGGAAACAACAAGGAATTTTGTCAAGCACTAAGTCATCTGGCTTGAAACTTCTTTTCTTGACCCTCTGGTTGTAATATCGTACAATGCTTCTATGGTAGGATAAGATGTTTTGCAACATTTCATCTCTCCTTTCATCTAGGAGATTGAGGTTGATGAGCATAGATCTATCATTCTGTTCTGGGTCAAAGAGCTTAGCCCTAGCCGAGGGAAGTCTGACTTTGATTAAGGCCATTGCTTTTGTCCCACAAATGAGGCTGAAAGAAGTCTCATTAGTGGTTATTCGCATAGTTGTTCTATAAGCCCATAATAGTGCTAGGAGATGGTCGACCCACTAGGCCTCAGAAGCTTTTAGCCTTGTTTTCAGTGTCATTTTAATGGTTCAAATAGTGACTTCGGCCTATCCATTCGATTACAGATGTACAGGTGTCGAGAAATAGTTCTTGATGCCTAGTTTTGCACAAAAGCCTGTGAACCTCGGGTTGTCAAACTATTTTTCGTTGTCAGAAACCACGGCCCTTGGGATGCCAAATTGAAAAATAATCAATTTCCATGCAAAGTTCTTCACCTTCTACTTGGTGATCTTTGCCAATGCCTCGATTTTCACCCATTTAGTAAATTAGTCAACGACGACTATGACAAATTTGTATTGCCTAATGCCTACTGGAAGAGGCCCCAAGATGTCTAGACCCTATTGTTGGAAAGGCCAAGGACTGACCACTGACGTGAGTTGCTCGAGTGGGTAATGTGGTAGGTTTCTATGGATCTGACAGGCCTGGTATCTCTTTACTATTTTCTTCGCATCTTCCGCCATTGTGGCCTAGAAGTATTGTAAAACTCAAGTAAATTTAAATTTTTTATTGAAAAGGACAACATGGTAATTTACCACTACAGTACGGTTTGTAAACTTGAAATTTTCTAAAAGTCGGATGACGAAGTGGACCTCACCATTAGATTTATCTCGTGAAATCTAGTTATCCTATCAAATTTTGTTGAATTCTAAGATAATAAGATTTTTTCCGTTTTAAAGACCACCGTTCTTTGTCTCTCTCTCTTTCACTGTGCATCAAGACGAGCACTGACCCACAACCACCACCAACCCACAACCACCATCCAAAACCCACAATCACCACCCAAAACCCAAAATCACCATCCAAAACCCACAACCACCACCGATACCCACAATCACCACCTGTGTTTTGAACCCAGATGTTGGGATAAAAAAAAAAAAGCATTGCAAAGGATGGAGACGACGCCAGAATACTTGAAATGGTATGTATTTCGTCTGGACAGTGTCGTTGCACATAGAGAGAGTAGAGATGGAGAAAGAAGTAGGTGAGGGCTTTTATACTTCATCCAAAAAAAATGCATTTTCCTAGTAAAGAAGTTTGATGAGTGGACCTCATTAAAGAGGATGAATTTTTTTTCTTGTTTTCTATTTTACCTTGAAAATTTAGAAAACATCATTTTGTTGTTCTCTAAAATTACATCTCAATTCTCAAATTTTTTCAAAAATTAGATAACAAAAAAATTAAACAAATAAGTTTCGGGTGTTTTTAAAATTTTGAAAACAGTTCTTTAACAATTTAACCGGTTTAAAGAAGTTTCTTGCATACCTGTCCTAATTTTTGCAACTCATACGTTGGTGCAGCTTTCGTACAAGCAGTGTCATGGCTTACAATTGCATCTCTTTCTCCGTCAAATATCTCATTCTTCACAATGACCTTATACCTCCTCCTTGGGAACTTGGGTGCTTCAGTAATTGAGGTAGCAAATGATGCCATTGTTGCAGAGATCGGAAAACAACCTACTCCCTCTTCGAAGAACTCGGAATCATCTTCCTCAAGTGAGCTCCAGTCATTCGTTTGGATGGCCTCCTCAATTGGTGGAGTCCTGGGTAACCTTCTATGCGGTGTTGCCATAGGCCGTATCTCCCCACAGGCAATGTTTCTTTTGTTTGGCATTCTTCTCACCGTCCAATTTTTCATTACAATATTCATCCACGAAAACTCCCTTGACCTCCCCAAGAGTTCATCCAAGGTGGGTATCAGAAAGCAACTTTCAGAGCTCCTAGTTGCACTAAAAAAACCAGAGATCTCCCTTTCTATGACCTGGTTTGCCGCATCTTATGCCATAATTCCAGCTTTGACAGGCACGATGTTCTATTATCAAACACAATACTTAAATATTGAATCATCAATTTTGGGGATATCTAAGGTGTTGAGACAGGCGACAATGTTTCTAAGGGGTGTTACTTATAATAGACACTTGAAGTGAATTCCCCCAAGGAAACTAATCTCATCCATTCAGGCCACTATTGCCATTTTCATTATCTCAGATGTTTTGTTCGTGAAAGGGGTATATCGCAAGCACCTGATTCACTATATGTTGTGGTTTTCTCAGGCTTTCTAGAGGTTTTGTACTTCTTTAAGATTCTACCTTTCAGTGTTCTAATGGCACAGCTCTGCCCACCAGGATGCGAGGGTTCTGTAATGGCATTTCTGATGTCTGCTATTGCTCTTGCATTTGTACTGAGTGGGTACCTTGGCATTGCGCTTGCATCATATGTTGGGGTGACAGGGAATGATTTTTCAGGCTTGCAATGCGGCCTTCTAATACAGGCGGCATGCACAGTTTTGCCACTTTTTTGGTCATCGTGTATCCCAGATGATGTGGAACTCAGAAGCAAGAAGAAAGAAAACTAAGCACTAGCAACAGTGTTATTGTTGACAGTGGTGCAGTAGTACTTCAGAAAGGAGAGGGGTATAATTTGGCTCACAATTTTATTTGAAATTCTTTCTAGAAAACCCACAATATATTCTTGCTCTTAAAGCTATCCACGAGGGGTGTGATTGATTTACCTTTATGTTTTCTAGCTATTACATACATATAATTTAAGCAGAGTGTTCGATAGAAGTTTTATATGCATTTTTCAAAGTAGGGTAATAATACATTGTACTATTGATATATAAAACTTTATTTGCTCTCGTCAAATAAATTTGTATTCTTTCAGCAGAGTTAAGATGCAGCCATTGCAAACATCTCGAGTTCAAAAATATGTATCCATGTCATGATGTTTGTACATTTTGTGGTTTTATTGTTATACCCTGCTACCTGGGTCCTGTGCAGGGGAGACACTGTTATTGGCCACAATGATCTTACCCAAAGGATTGTTTATTCAAGAACTAAATCAGCTGATTTGGAAACTCACAAACTAGGTGTTTGTGCTCGTTTTATAAAGTCATCTTGTATGTGGATTCATTCAACTTTGCATAGAATTGAAATAGAAAACACTACTCCTCAAATGTGAACCTATGTGTGTTTGGGTTCTTCTAAGAACTGTTATATAAATAAGTTAAATAAAACTGCGCGTCATATAATTCCCAAATGACAAACTTTTTATTTATTTTTATCTTTTGATCAAAAAATGGCGAGCTAAGTAGACTGCAATTCTTGATGCTTTCAGTTTCATAACTTTAGGATTCGTTACCAGGGTTTCACTGCTAAGTAATATCTGAATGCGTTTGAGGAATAAAGACATTGCAAAATGAATGCAAGACTCTTCCCATCTTGCCTCTAATGTTAGTTCATTCTCGATGTAGCTGCAATGCAAGCCTTCTAACTCAATAAACATTCTGCAATAGATTCCACGAGAGATTCAAAACAAGATACTACAAAATGTCATGCAAACAAGATAGAGGGCCAAACCACATGCTGCTAGCAGTGGAAATTATTCATCCTCTCAGTCTCGGTCTGATGGGATGATTGAAGTGTCATTTTTATGATCACTTCCACCATCTTTGAAGGGCTCCTAGAGGAAAAATTATTGCCTTGAAAGGCTAGGACAGCCAAAGAAAAGTCCGTGTGGTAGAAGTGACACAACTCAAGATTCACCACATGGTTTAAATGCTAAGTAAATATAATTTGCAAGTATTTTGAGGAATTGAAACATTAAAAAACAAGAATGTGGAGCTCCTTCTTTGCCTCCAATGTCACTTTATTCTCTATGTTGCTGCAATGTGAGCCTCCAAACAAAACATCAATTCTGCCATAGATGTCATAAGTGACATGAAGCAAGACAAGATGAAATGCTTTGCAACCAAGATAGAGGACCAAACCACGTGCTCCCAGCAGTGGAAAAAGTAGTGTTAGAGTATGTGTGGCTCATATTTGTTATGTATACAATGGCAAAGAGACAAATGCCAGAGCGGGCAGAGCGAAGCGGAACCCGCGACGGCATCTGCCTTACAGGATTTGTATAAAAGAGACGTTGATTAGTTGGAGGTACGGGAGCAACGCCCCCGCAGTACGATACATGAGTATTTTTGTAAATACGTCCATATTAGGTTATATAAATACTTAAAATGTAACCCTACTTTTAATAATGAAAAAGAACGGTCGTTCGCTCTCGTGGATATAAGCACATTGTCGAACCATGTAAATCTCTGTATGTTATTTTCTCTTGCTTTCTTAATTGTTTGATTCCTTATTATTCACCATAATTGCTGCACTATCACAACAAGTAGCCACCAAACACTTCTAACTTACTGCTATATTTAATTGCCTAAGTCTCAATTCTGTCATTTTCTGGAGAAAGGAAGTAATTGAGAGGAGTTAGATGGGCTGAAACACTAGTAAGAAAGTTGTCAATGCCTTCCAGAAACAGCATTCTCAAGAATATTCCAGGAGCTTACATGGCAAACATTAGGGAAATATTACAATGGGGAAAAGGCAGATAGAAATACACCAGCTAATATACTTGCATTTGGGTGAATCCGTGCAAAACACAGCTTTTTTTATTGTGGTTAAAACATAAGTGAGTCGTTAAGATATTTATTGTGCTTAAGCTATAAATGGATGGTTAAAATATTTATTACGGTTAAAAAGTTACGTGTAAATAAAAAGAGATAATATGATTAAAAGATTAAAACGTAAGTAATAAAATAAGCCAGTAACCTAAACGATCTAGGCCCATATTATGTTTTTCTAAGTCAAGAGCTTAAACAAGAGGCTTTGGTTTATTAATATAGATATAACTCCAATACCAAACTAAATGTCCTTTCTTTCACTCTTCTAAATTGCAAAAGAGGGTAACACATTGTAACCTTTGGTTATTCGTTATTCCTACAAAGAAACAACCATTTAAACTACTTGATAAAATAATCAAATGAAACTTGCAAAAATTAATATTTATTCCCTTCTCAAGGTAGAACTATTGCACGTTAACTATAGTAGAGCAAACCATTACAAGGATTTAAAAAAAAAAAATCAAAAGCATTACAATTTGGAATTGATGGATGCAAAAAAAGGCATCAAACTAGATAAAAAAAAAGTAATTTTACACATCTTAATCAGAGAGCATCATTAGAAGTTAGTAAAATAATGAGCAAAAACATCTATAATAGTACACAACAACAATACTTTGAGAAGAGGGTAGGGTCGGATACTTACCGATAAATAGTGGAGTCATACCCNGCAGTACGATACATGAGTATTTTTGTAAATACGTCCATATTAGGTTATATAAATACTTAAAATGTAACCCTACTTTTAATAATGAAAAAGAACGGTCGTTCGCTCTCGTGGATATAAGCACATTGTCGAACCATGTAAATCTCTGTATGTTATTTTCTCTTGCTTTCTTAATTGTTTGATTCCTTATTATTCACCATAATTGCTGCACTATCACAACAAGTAGCCACCAAACACTTCTAACTTACTGCTATATTTAATTGCCTAAGTCTCAATTCTGTCATTTTCTGGAGAAAGGAAGTAATTGAGAGGAGTTAGATGGGCTGAAACACTAGTAAGNACAGTACGGTACATGAGTATTTTTGTAAATACGTCCATATTAGGTTATATAAATATTTAAAATGTAACCCTACTTTTAATAATGAAAAAGAACGGTCGTTCGCTCTCGTGGATATAGGCACATTGTCGAACCATGTAAATCTCTGTATGTTATTTTCTCTTGCTTTCTTAATTGTTTGATTCCTTATTATTCACCATAATTGCTGCACTATCACAACAAGTAGCCACCAAACACTTCTAACTTACTGCTATATTTAATTGCCTAAGTCTCAATTCTGTCATTTTCTGGAGAAAGGAAGTAATTGAGAGGAGTTAGATGGGCTGAAACACTAGTAAGAAAGTTGTCAATGCCTTCCAGAAACAGCATTCTCAAGAATATTCCAGGAGCTTACATGGCAAACATTAGGGAAATATTACAATGGGGAAAAGGCAGATAGAAATACACCAGCTAATATACTTGCATTTGGGTGAATCCGTGCAAAACACAGCTTTTTTTATTGTGGTTAAAACATAAGTGAGTCGTTAAGATATTTATTGTGCTTAAGCTATAAATGGATGGTTAAAATATTTATTACGGTTAAAAAGTTACGTGTAAATAAAAAGAGATAATATGATTAAAAGATTAAAACGTAAGTAATAAAATAAGCCAGTAACCTAAACGATCTAGGCCCATATTATGTTTTTCTAAGTCAAGAGCTTAAACAAGAGGCTTTGGTTTATTAATATAGATATAACTCCAATACCAAACTAAATGTCCTTTCTTTCACTCTTCTAAATTGCAAAAGAGGGTAACACATTGTAACCTTTGGTTATTCGTTATTCCTACAAAGAAACAACCATTTAAACTACTTGATAAAATAATCAAATGAAACTTGCAAAAATTAATATTTATTCCCTTCTCAAGGTAGAACTATTGCACGTTAACTATAGTAGAGCAAACCATTACAAGGATTTAAAAAAAAAAAATCAAAAGCATTACAATTTGGAATTGATGGATGCAAAAAAAGGCATCAAACTAGATAAAAAAAAAGTAATTTTACACATCTTAATCAGAGAGCATCATTAGAAGTTAGTAAAATAATGAGCAAAAACATCTATAATAGTACACAACAACAATACTTTGAGAAGAGGGTAGGGTCGGATACTTACCGATAAATAGTGGAGTCATACCCCATTGCAAAAAGGATTGATTCCCAGAAGGCAAATGCTAGAAACATCAAAATTCATTGCACGCAACATCATTCTTAATGAAGGAGATAGGGGGCACCACAGTATTCATACTTGTGTAGCACTTTGCAAAACATATAATTTGAGTGCATATCCATTATCATCCTTGGTTGCGCAGTCACAGAGAAATCCTAATAATTCTTTTAGCATTAGCAGTAATGCATATCATATATATGTCAAGCAATGTAAATGGAAAAAAATTCAGGTCAATGGCCCTATAACTAACAAGAGTGCATATCAGAAAACCTATGGAATTATAGAATACCAGCTGATGTTGATTGACCAGATCTTGATGCGATCACTATATGACAGTGGAATCACCCCTCAATTAACTCGTTTTTGTACTAACGGGTAGAAAATTGTGAGTAAATCAGAGTAGCAGCAAGTCAGTATGGATAATCACATAAGAAATCACGATATCACCATTTGTAGACAAAAGATGTGACAGTAGATAAAAAGTTCCAGATCAGGACATACAAACGGTGGACTACGAGCAGTAGTAGTGCAGACACAAACCGAATTATCGGAAACCCAAAAAAAAAAAAANTTACTGCTATATTTAATTGCCTAAGTCTCAATTCTGTCATTTTCTGGAGAAAGGAAGTAATTGAGAGGAGTTAGATGGGCTGAAACACTAGTAAGAAAGTTGTCAATGCCTTCCAGAAACAGCATTCTCAAGAATATTCCAGGAGCTTACATGGCAAACATTAGGGAAATATTACAATGGGGAAAAGGCAGATAGAAATACACCAGCTAATATACTTGCATTTGGGTGAATCCGTGCAAAACACAGCTTTTTTTATTGTGGTTAAAACATAAGTGAGTCGTTAAGATATTTATTGTGCTTAAGCTATAAATGGATGGTTAAAATATTTATTACGGTTAAAAAGTTACGTGTAAATAAAAAGAGATAATATGATTAAAAGATTAAAACGTAAGTAATAAAATAAGCCAGTAACCTAAACGATCTAGGCCCATATTATGTTTTTCTAAGTCAAGAGCTTAAACAAGAGGCTTTGGTTTATTAATATAGATATAACTCCAATACCAAACTAAATGTCCTTTCTTTCACTCTTCTAAATTGCAAAAGAGGGTAACACATTGTAACCTTTGGTTATTCGTTATTCCTACAAAGAAACAACCATTTAAACTACTTGATAAAATAATCAAATGAAACTTGCAAAAATTAATATTTATTCCCTTCTCAAGGTAGAACTATTGCACGTTAACTATAGTAGAGCAAACCATTACAAGGATTTAAAAAAAAAAAAATCAAAAGCATTACAATTTGGAATTGATGGATGCAAAAAAAGGCATCAAACTAGATAAAAAAAAAAGTAATTTTACACATCTTAATCAGAGAGCATCATTAGAAGTTAGTAAAATAATGAGCAAAAACATCTATAATAGTACACAACAACAATACTTTGAGAAGAGGGTAGGGTCGGATACTTACCGATAAATAGTGGAGTCATACCCCATTGCAAAAAGGATTGATTCCCAGAAGGCAAATGCTAGAAACATCAAAATTCATTGCACGCAACATCATTCTTAATGAAGGAGATAGGGGGCACCACAGTATTCATACTTGTGTAGCACTTTGCAAAACATATAATTTGAGTGCATATCCATTATCATCCTTGGTTGCGCAGTCACAGAGAAATCCTAATAATTCTTTTAGCATTAGCAGTAATGCATATCATATATATGTCAAGCAATGTAAATGGAAAAAAATTCAGGTCAATGGCCCTATAACTAACAAGAGTGCATATCAGAAAACCTATGGAATTATAGAATACCAGCTGATGTTGATTGACCAGATCTTGATGCGATCACTATATGACAGTGGAATCACCCCTCAATTAACTCGTTTTTGTACTAACGGGTAGAAAATTGTGAGTAAATCAGAGTAGCAGCAAGTCAGTATGGATAATCACATAAGAAATCACGATATCACCATTTGTAGACAAAAGATGTGACAGTAGATAAAAAGTTCCAGATCAGGACATACAAACGGTGGACTACGAGCAGTAGTAGTGCAGACACAAACCGAATTATCGGAAACCCAAAAAAAAAAAAAAGAGCATCATAAATAAACAGAGTCTGGATAGTCTACACGAGCAGAGAAGGAAACCGCACTAAACGCGGCCATCCCACAAGCATTCAGAGTGAAGCTTGCCGACTCTCAGGAGACGCTCCACATCTTTGGGCGGATTCAAGCCAAGAGCATTGGCACGGTCCCAGCGATCCAATCTGCTCATCCCGAGGCAAGGCCCGTACGCCATGTTCATGTCGAATTGCCTCAATACCTCCTCATTCCCATCGTAATCATCTATATATACAATGAATAAGCAATAATTTCCATCATTAAGGCATAGGACAGTAAATAACCATAGCGTGCCTTGAGGGGGAAAAAAATCGAAAAAATAGTATGCTATTTTATTTATCCCCAAAAACCAAAGCGGAAACCCTATAACAAAATGAAACAATAGATGGAGGATAGATGAGACATTTTTTGGAAGAGAAAAAGGAGAAGGGAGGGGACCTTGAAGATCGAGAGAAGCATGGGAGATGAGAGAGGAAGGCTTGGCAATGTCAGAGGCGAGAGTCGCCGAGTGGTCTGGAGACGATGATTTCTTAGACTTAGAATTGGAGTTGGACTTTGTGATACCGCCGGTCTTCTTCCTCTGCCTGAAGTAACCTTTCATGTTCCCTCCTCCTGCTGCTGTTGATGATGATGCCATTCTCTTCCTCTTGCCTGCTTGTGTGTTCTTTTTCTTTATCTTCTGGTTTTCAAATTTTGAAATTTGAATACAACAGAGTTCAGACGGCCGCTCAACCCAACCCAACCCAACCCAACCCAGCCCATTTATATAAGAGGAATGCTATGTGCTCATCCTTGTGCGTATAGCGGTCAATTTTAACATACTACTTATTAATTTGTTTAATTCTTCCATAAATAAATGAATTGGAAATTTACATTAATTAATATGAGTTTTAAATGAATTGGATAATATGATTCATTTTAATTAAATAGGTTGATAAGAATTATGAATGGGTACCCATTAAATTAAATATTTATTTTTTTTATTAAATAACACAAGTAATAAAATTAAATAAACATACTAATATATCAAAAAAATACACACATTATTACACTAAAAAATACACACTATTACACTAATACACCAAAACATACACACACTAGTACACCAAAAACACACACACTAATATACCACCCATGTTCCATGGGTCGACCCACGGGTTAACTCATAAAAATGGGTTATCCGTGAGTGAACAATAGATTGAATTTATTTTCGGATAGATGTGGAACTTTCAATTTTAAATTTTTTTCCTTTGTCTTTTTGATTTTCCCATCATAAGCATGGCTGATGAGGTTTTCATGGTTTAATCCGATGTCAGTTTCTGACATGCACAAAACAGTAGTTCCGTTACATTTCAAGGGTCTAGAAATAGAGTTGCCCATCATTAAATCAATTAGTAAGTATGTGATATTAGTTATTATTCCTAACTGGATATTTTAAATTTGAATATTAATGCATAAAAATATAGGCATTTAGTTTCATGAGCCTCATTGCACTTTAGATGGAGATAAGGGCAGGATTATCACATTCCGCATCAATTCCATGTTGCATGACTTTGCCAAGAAATCTTGGAAGTGGGATATGGTACAAAGCCATCAAAGAAAATTGCATCACAAGTCATATGCCAATGCCATGCATGTGTAGGTATTTTGGCTTGAATTTTATGACTCCTCAATACTTCAGAGAGTTTTTCGATGAAATCGTAAAATTAAATGATTCGTAAGAAAAATGCGTGAAAGTTACTTTTTTTTTTTTTTGTATCACAGGGTTATTGGCCACTCGTTAGACTTATCTGGGTCAGTGTGTGATTCTTTAATTTTCTTTAGGATTGCAATTTAACAAAAAAAAAAAAGGCTAGCTATAAACTAATAACCAAACTATTCATAAACAACCATAACTTCTCGTTATCTAAATCCGAAGAACCAGTTAAAACATGATATATCGGTCATGGCATTGTAGTGGCTTGGTCCAAATTTATGCTCATCACTTCTACTATTTATCCTTTATCCTCTATCAGAATTCAAACATTACAGATGTCAAAGAACGTGGCCTAGGAATTGTTTTTAGTGGCTTTCAAANCAAAACATAATATATCGGCCATGGCATTGTAGTGGCTTGGTCCAAATTTATGCTCATCACTTCTACTATTTATCCTTTATCCTCTATCAGAATACAAACATTACAGATGTCAAAGAACGTGGCCTAGGAATTGTTTTTAGTGGCTTTCAAACGGCCAAAACCTAGAACCCAACCATAAAGGTTTGGTGAAGAATGAACGTCACAGTGGTGATTTGAATAGATTTGATCATGGCTTTTACTAAGGAATTTAAAACTAGTTCTAGAATCATGTTTGCCAATTCTGCTTAGGTTTTATGGGGAGAATATTCATTATAATTTTCATGTTGGAATGCATTTATTTTTTTAAGCTTTTCAACAATTTTCTTGCCAAAAGTGGTGGTTAGTCTTTATGAGGATACCATCAAGAGTTGGAAGTTTGTATGAGTTACTAGAGTTGAATCAATCAGCTATGTTCAAAAGTCAGATTTTTATAGGGTTTAACTCCGTATAAATTTCATAAGTCATTGTTATAATTTAATATTTACTCTTAAGACTTGTTTGCACAATTTCTAGAATTTATAAGGTCTACAAGTTAGATAAGTTACGATACATATTAGACCAACAAAAAAATTTAGTTTTATATTATGAATCCATTAAAAAAAAAAAGAGAGAAATCAATTAGAGTAATCTTTGGATCAAGGACAATATGAATTTTATATTATTGTTAAATCACAGTTACGAAATTATAATATGAAATTTATTAAATTGTGCTGAGATAAAATTAGAAAATATATATATATATATATATATATATTTTTTTTTTTTTTTTGATTAGTGACTTTTATGAATTGTAAATTGGTAATCATTGAATTTGTAGTTTCTTTAAGAGTACACACAAGGTCAAATTTTTATGATTTAAGCCATAAGTGTTCAAATATTTATTTAAGGACAAAATAAAAACTCAAAATTTTAAAATGAAATTATTAGTGTGAGGTATAATTNCATGGCTTTTACTAAGGAATTTAAAACTAGTTCTAGAATCATGTTTGCCAATTCTGCTTAGGTTTTATGGGGAGAGTATTCATTATAATTTTCATGTTGGAATGCATTTATTTTTTTAAGCTTTTCAACAATTTTCTTGCCAAAAGTGGTGGTTAGTCTTTATGAGGATACCATCAAGAGTTGGAAGTTTGTATGAGTTACTAGAGTTGAATCAATCAGCTATGTTCAAAAGTCAGATTTTTATAGGGTTTAACTCCGTATAAATTTCATAAGTCATTGTTATAATTTAATATTTACTCTTAAGACTTGTTTGCACAATTTCTAGAATTTATAAGGTCTACAAGTTAGATAAGTTACGATACATATTAGACCAACAAAAAAATTTAGTTTTATATTATGAATCCATTAAAAAAAAAAAGAGAGAAATCAATTAGAGTAATCTTTGGATCAAGGACAATATGAATTTTATATTATTGTTAAATCACAGTTACGAAATTATAATATGAAATTTATTAAATTGTGCTGAGATAAAATTAGAAAATATATATATATATATATATATATATTTTTATTTTTTTTTTGATTAGTGACTTTTATGAATTGTAAATTGGTAATCATTGAATTTGTAGTTTCTTTAAGAGTACACACAAGGTCAAATTTTTATGATTTAAGCCATAAGTGTTCAAATATTTATTTAAGGACAAAATAAAAACTCAAAATTTTAAAATGAAATTATTAGTGTGAGGTATAATTGTCTTTATAATTTTGTTTAAGGGTAGAAGATGAATTCAAAAGTTTTTTATCTAAGGTACTTTTATTAGTAACTAGTTGATACACACGTGCGTTGCACGTGAATTATTTTGTACACTAAACGAAAGGCAACTAAATCATATTGTGGTTTAGATCATAGTGTATCTATTGTTGGACACTTTTCTTAGTTGTTTGCAATCAAAACTTTTAGGTGCATTGGACTTTAAAATAAACATTGAAGCAATGCTTGCACAAAAAAGGAATCATATGAAGGTATAGAAAAAGAAGCTAATCATACATTTAACCCTCTCAAAGCTCGAAAGGAAGCTATACCATCTGTATTACAAAGCTTGTATAATTTTGACTTGACTAAGCGATTTTGAAGACAGTTCAATATCAAACTATGGTTGGCAATATTTACAAAGTATCAAAAACTTGAATAATTAGTTTCCATTATGGAGTGTAGTCTGGTTGTGGGGTCATGAAAATTCTCACCTTAAAGGTTATCTTAAGCAGCCAAAGAATATGAGTGAACTCATCAAAGTCTTGATATATTTTTTTTGTGGTGACTTTGAGAAGTAATAGTATATCAATTTTTGATTTGTATTAACTTTAGCCAGAAAATTGAAGATGCCTCGAAGTGTACAAAAAACAAACAGAGCAATTGATTGTCTCCAATAGTTACAAGCTTAATACTTGTAGTTTATGAGATGGTTGGCTTTGTATGTCACAAGCTAAGACATGCTAAGCTAATCAATATCATAAGGGGCCTTCATCTTTTGAAACAAGAAAAAAGAAAAAAACGACACCAACAATCAAATAAAGTTACAGTTCATTGAAAAACTAAATTGAAACCATAAAGGGTTTGTAATTGTTGTATAGATAGGTCCAATCCCACTTGATGCAAGCACAATGACCTTAGAAATGATTTGCAGTATTGACAAGTTCAAAGGGGGAGAAAAAGGCACAATTACAAATACAAAGTTTCTTTGGTAAAAGGTCGAAAAATATATTCATCAAAGAAATCACAAAAGTCTATATGAACAAGAACCATTGTTGTCAATTGAGTCTATTGCAAAATGGCATTCAAACTTGAAAATATTGGGATCCTTTATTATTGCCTCCAACAGTGCCCTCTCAATTTCCCAGTGAAAGTGGCCCCTTACCCTTGCTAAATGCAAGTTTTTGTCCTCCCCATGATCAAATGAAACACCCAAACCAACCAATTCTCTGATTTTATCCAGTCTTTCTGCACATACCAGTTTAACTTGAGATAACACTCAACCTGTCGAGAAAGAAAACATATACACATTTACACTTTTCACTAATAGATTTGACATTACGTGTAGAATGTAAGAACCACACATCATAAAAAAATTACATTTTTGACTTTACATGAGTTTGGGATTTATGATTAAGTTTGTAATATGCAATTGTCAGAAAAATAAGTGCACTCAATTATTGAAGAACAACAATCACAAGGTATACATCTACAATTCTAAGTTTCAACAATAATTAGAATGGCTATAACTATTCTATCTTGCCTCCCACCAATATGGTAAAACCTAAAGAAACGTGCAGCCACACTAACATATCATTTTGGCACGAATGAACGTAGAACTAACTGCAACAACAAACTAAATTAGAGCATGGTGTGCTTTCTAAACCAATACAGAACATAAAGCTGGAAATGCTACAATCAAGTCATTTTTCATGGCCTTTTAGCTCCATAAAATATTATATTTAAGACAACAAATTATCTTATAAGCTACACCATTATACCATCCAAAACTCAATACTAAAGACACAACATTCATACAATGAAACAACAACAATGAAGACCATACATAATATTATCAATTATTGCATGAGAAGACCCTGCTAGAACTATATGTTGCAGGTGAGACAACAACGATTCA